GCTCGAGTTGGCCGAATAGCCCACTATTTCTGATTCTGGAAATTAGCCCGATCTCGAAATAGCAGGCTATTTGGCAGATTAAGACGCCAATAGCTGGTTATTTGCTCAGGAAATCTTCCCAAGATATCTTGGACTAGTTTGCAAAATAGCCTGCTATTGATCAAAGACTCACACTATGTGCAAACACAGAGCAGATTTCTTGAGCTGATGAAGAAGCGATTTGTATCTTCGGCCTAATTTCCCAAATCAGAAATAGCGGGTTATCTAGCAAACTCGAGCTGATGAAGACAGGCCTTATGTGACAAGTTCAAATGATATGATCTCTCACCTAGATACAATTTTATGGACTGTTCATGCTAAAATTCAGAACATGCACATCAACATTTTGACAGTTTATTATGACTGCCAGACGTCACCTTTGTATTTTTTTCACCTTCATGACACAATGAACCCTGAGATATAAAGGCCCACTCTAAAATGAGAATGTTTTCATTCAATTTGACTTCCCTACCCAAATATATATCATCTTCTTTGAGCCAGAAATGTGTTAAAGGTAGTATGTCCCATCTGCAGCCAACGTCAGATTCTGTAGCACTTTGCGGGAATAATGAATCTTATAATGTCCTATATCTGTGAAATTTAAACGTTAGCAGTGTCCTAGTATTCAAATTATGCAAGGAAACCTGCTTACTTACTAGACTTCACCGTCAGACACTATTGAGTGACTGACTGACTCATTTTTTACCTCGGTAATAACAAAAATAAAATGAGCTGTAAAGGGTACATTCGCATTTGTCTACATCAATAACCCACTTCTTGTAATGGCCGAAATTAAACTGATTGAATTTTGCGCAGCACATAACGTACAACCATTGGGTACATGGGTCTAAAAATCAGACTATTTAATTAAACAAGCGTGCTCGCTAAATTCGATTTGACAAATAACAGTCGTTATTTTCCCACAAAAAGACATTTTCAAGCCCTTTAGTTTTGAGGGAAGTTCTAAATTAGTATTATCTTTCAAATGCCGTTGGAATTTAAGTCTTTCATTTTAGGGGCCTGCAAATGGGACATATTACCTTTAACTCATAACATTTTGCATGGATTTAATACACTTCTGGCTTTCAGCATATGATATTATCATTCCATACAACCCAAGAGAAAATACTTTATTTTGCTCTCTAGAACTATGGTATTTTGAAAGTTTATTTGCTGCTTGTGGATGAATGCAATGATTTCATGTTCACTGAACATGTATATTGTGTGCCCCCAAAATGTCTCATTTTATCTCTAATTTTGCAACCAAATTAGCAAAAAAGTAGAAAGCAAAGTTCTGTAAACTTCCTGTTTGTATATTCAATTCATTTCCTCATCAAATATTTACAAATTTATTTTATTTGACAAATATTTTACACAGTAGTCACATTGTGTGGAAATAATCATTATTTACTCATCACAAAGCCATGAACAGACATAATTCTTTAAAAGAATTATACTAAACCCTAATAATATTCTATAATCTTATTTCCCATTCATTAATTTTGTGTCAATTTTCAGTCAGCCATAAACCACAAGTACCTTGGTAGATCAACAAATTAGGTGACTTCCTACAATTTGTTTTCCACGCTTACACTTTCACTCACTATCCCTCACTTGCTTTGTGTAGCTGTCTTCATATATTTGTGTTAGTCTGGTTCTCTCTTCATTTATTCTAGTCTATTTGGATGCCTATCGTATTGTCTTTAAAAAAAACTTAATTCTCTGGGTCTTGCCCCAGTTTCTTTTCCTCTATTTCTCCTCTTCTTCTCATCTCTGGATTGTATTTATGTGCCCCTGTCTCTATCTCTCTCTCCCTCTATCTTTATATCTTTAACTGTATAATTCTATATTTCTGCCCCTTTGTCTCTTTGTGCCCCCACTCTGTTTCTGTCTCTCTCTGCCTATCTTCCACTCTATCCATGTCTGTCCATCTCCCCTCTCTCTGTCCTTGTCTGTCTGTCTGTCTGTCTGTCTGTCTGCCTGTCTGTCTGTCAGTCAGTCTGTTTGTCAGTCTGTATGTCTATCTGTACATTATATCTATCTGTCTATCTCTCTGTCTGTCTCTGTCACTCCCTCTCTCTCTCTCTCTCTCTCTCTATATATATATATATATGTATATACATGTATATTTTTCTTTCTGATACTCTCACTCTACATCTCTCTACATCTCCTCTATCTCCTTAGTCTCACTCTCTTTTTTAAAAATCTCCAACTATTTTGTTTCTTATTTTCCATTTCTTCCAGACACCCCTCTCTATCTATCCCATAATCCTTCAGACAGGTCGTGCAGACAGAGGATGTAGTAAATTGGCAATCGAAGGAACAGAACATTTGTGTGTGATGCACAAGTCACGTGCTGTCCCTACATTAATCTCTGCTCTAATACTTAACCACTATCTAATGAGTAGCACATCTCACCATAGATTTTTTTAAGAACCCATCTGAGAGGATTGCATTGTCATTCAACACATTGTTTCTTTCTAATAGATTAGGTGCCACCTAGACTTATCTTCGTGTTTGAATTTAAGGGTTAATTCTTTGTTTAAAGTGACATAGGAAAAGAGGAAAAGAGTTTAAAAGTAATGTACCTGGTAGGCTACCACCATTGACTTCCTTGTATATTCACTTCAAAAGGGACAAAAAGTGTACAGGTTTTCCCCCTGAAATGCATTTTAAAATGTGGTCGGGTGAAAGATATCATGTAAATGATGAAATGAATTCAATTTCAGAGTGATGTACTATTTTCTTCTACCAACAAGTTTTTTTCCTGTCTACCATACACATTTGTTTGATGCAAACTTCATCACATGAAATAGAAATATAATTTGTTAAATGTTGCACATGACACTTCTTCATACAACAGATAGAGCATAGCAATGTAGGCACTGCCGTTATACCACAGATATAATCACTGAATAACTGGTGACTAGATTAATGTCACATGTAAGAAACATTAATGTGTATACAGTGAGCAGTGACGTGTGATCTAAATCTAACCTACATGATGGTTTATTGTATCAGAGAATACATATATCAGTACACAACCCCTTCATTGCATATTTGAAATCTTTCATGAGCAATTAAACGAATCCTTGCCATTATTCCCATTTCAAATGACTTCATACGATGAGGCAGAATCTAAAACCAACATACATTTGGGTTTAATGTATCAGACAAGTAAAATAATTGCAAACTCCTCACGGCATATTCTAATAACCAATTAAACAAATCCTTGCCATTATTTCCACTTCAAATGACTACATACGATGAGGCAGAATCTAAAACCAACATACATTTGGGTTTAATGTATCAGACAATTAAAATAATTGCAAACTCCTCACAGCATATTCTAATAACCAATTAAACAAATCCTTGCCATTATTTCCATTTCCAATGACTCACAAACACCCATCACTTTGATATCTATTTATATTCTTGGGGAACCTTGCTTTTATTCCTGTCTCAACTGCGGCGCATCTCCTGCTCAACTCATATGGCATTGTACGGAAGTCCCTTTAATTTGGTTTGCCTAAGTCTGTCCCAATCCAAAGGAAAAGATACAAAATATCTGAACTAACACCCCCATTCAGACGACCAATCATTTGGCTATACGGTGAAACTAAAGACCGCTCAAGGGAAACATAAAAAGTGGTCTTTGTAGGTAGGTGGTTGCTAAAGCAGGTTTGGCTTTGTAAAAATCATAAAGCAATAGACTATGATTTTTTTTAAAATTCATTCTAGAGTGAACGTTCTATAACGAAACGTCGCAAGGAAAATGCATGTGTTAACATCTTTTTGAGTGAAAGCTCAATAAATAAACAGGGTCCTGTTCTCATTTTAATAGTATCGTATGAAAACCATTCGATATGGGGCTTATTATGAGCAGGCACTGATAATTGGCAGCTTCATGCCAATCGGCCTCCATAAAACCAGTTTCTTTATAGAATATTTCGTTATACGAGGTTGTTATCTAATGTGAATGTTCCTTTCGCTATACAACGATTCTTAATCAACGTTTCTTTATACAAGTTTAGTATAAATGTCCTCACGTCAGAACAGGCTATTAGTGACTTGACGGCACCTTCCTGTTTACCAGTTTGACTCTACTGACAAGCCAAGGGAAACGACCAGGACAGAATGACAGACGACCAAAGGCCGTCAGATAACAACGTGGACAGCGTCCCCATGGATTGACAAGGATGATTGCAGAGGGAGATGGAGGCAGACAAAAAGACAATGTGCAAAATGGGAGTGGGATTACCCCCTAGTCCCTTTCCTGTCAAAACATGTTGGTTTTCATATCTTCATGATGATAATACTTAAGTATTTATACTCAAAGGGTAAACATGTTTTTCAGATATAATTTCTTCTTTGCTAAAGGAAGCATCAATGGCAAAAATAAAACAGGAAGGAAAAAGAGAAGTGCAGATGAAGTGAGATACAGAAATTTAAGAGATATGTGTGGGGAGAGAGAGAGATGGAGAGGGAGAGAGATGGAGAGGGAGAGAGAGAGGGAGAGAGGGAGAGAGAGAGAGGAGAGAGACGGAGAGAGAGGAGAGAGGCGGAGAGAGAGATAGAGAGAGAGCGGGGAAAAGAGAAGAGACAAAGAAGAAAGAGAGGAAGCAAGAGAGAATGAAATTGAAAGAGAGAGAGAGAGGGGGAGAGAGAGAGAGAAAGAGACAGACAGACAGACAGACAGACATGGAAAAAGACAGAGAGGAGAAGAACCAGAGATGGAACAGAGATGGACCAGTAAATACAAAGAAAGAAGTATAGAGGTCCAATTATTAGTAAGCATAAAATGCTGAAAATATATCAGAACAAAAATGAATCAAAAAGTGAATGGGAAGAATGAAATAATCCCACGGAAATGAATGAAGACTTAAGGACAAAATGTTGATATAAATAATATCAATGTCCCATAATGTCCTCTGAGTTAGTTAAATCATGCTGATACTTACAGTGAATGAACCATCACTCTGAACCGCCCTGTTCTCTCTGTGTATACTCTCACTCTGTGATGATGCTTCACGGGTTGGTACAGGTACCTTTGGTGCACACTTGAGAAAGATATCACAAGAAAGAGAAAATGATTTTCACCAATATGTACCTAAATAGTTAATGTCATTATCATAGGAAAAAAATATGCATGCAGTTGCTACCATAATCATTAAAAAACTAATTTACAGAACTTGTCCTATTGTCAAACCATTGTCTTTATGTGTAATATTGCTTCTTATGGGTTAATATGTTTGAAACAAGGGAAAGTCTGAGCCACTCTATCCCATACATAACTCATCACATCTAAGACTTCAGTATATCTGATTATTATATTGAGTTAGTAGCACTACTTGAGCTTAGATCAAACCAAATATGAAGTGAACTGATACATTTGTTTCACTTTATGTTTGAAACTCCACAATACTTGTAATGTATGGGACACTTAGTGACAAAATACCATGGACTTGCTTTTACATTCTTTGTATGAGGTGACAAAATATCATGAAATTAAGTAATTATTCAACAGCCTCCTACTTAAAAACCTCATGCATTTCATTTACTAAATATCTGTTTTGATTTTTTTTGAGGGAATTATCATTAAAGTGATTTGTGAATGATTATCATTAAAATTAATCCTGAGGTGAAAATGATATTGAATGGAATAAAGTCCTTACAGAAATACTAATGTTGGCAATACAATACTTTGCAAGAACCATCAACTTTTACCCTAGTACACGTCATTAAGAAAACACACAGAAGAAACAAATCACACAATGATTTGGCTATGTTGCACATGATTTGGCTAAATATCTGTTTTGCATGGTTTTGTTTATGACTTTGTTTACTTCAAGCTACCCTATCTCACATTTCCAGATCCCTGCTCATTCTGATTACAATAATTGCATTTTTGCAAAAGGATTTGTTGTTTTCCGTTCTAATCTCCCTTGTGTAATAAAATACCCTATCATGTAAGCTACATGTACAGTATGCAACAAACTGTTGATAGTAACAATCATGAGAAACAGTTTTTAGCTTTGCATGAAATCCTCTGAACATAATGACATCAACAGAATTAGGGTATGAGACCAAGAAGGAATAGAGAACTTAAAAATCAGTTTAATTGTATAAAATGTGATTAGTAAATATCTGTTAATTTGAATTGAGATTTTAATATTCAGGAATGTATGTTTCTATATATCTCACACCCTTGTTGGTCTTGTTCCGGGTTATTTAAAATTGTATTATATCCTCCTCCTCCTCCTTCTCTTCATTCTTCTTTCTCTTTCTTTCTTTCTTCTTTTTCTTCTTCCTCTTTTTCTTCTTGGACAAGAGGAGTACACTCATATGTGAACACTTCTATCAAGCATACCTGTACATGATCAGTTTGACTATGTCCTTCCTGCACGGGGACCTGTTCGCATTGGGTCATATTATCCGCAGTCTCTAAGTCATGTTCTCTCTCACTCTCAGGCTTGCAGACTGCAAGCATCTCTTGAAGGGCCTTGGGCTGTGAAAATGATCAGGATAATATGATTGCACAATGATTATAACATCATTATCATTATGTGTTACCCAGTAAAAGATATTTTGTTCATCTTTTATGTCTGAATTTCATGTGCATTATGCTAGGGCCCGCCTTGCTGCCTTTCCCCTATTTATAAAGCTGATAGAAAATAAACATGAATCTTAAATAAAATGAAATATCAATGACTCATTATTACAAATGCATACAAAAGTTTAATTTGATAAAGTACATACATGTAGTTACACATTTATGGTGTAGACTACTCAGATCTCTGTACGCATATATCATAACTATTAGTTCATATGGGTAAAAGGTTAAACTAAGAAAACATTAGCAAATCAAATGTGAACACAACTGTTATCTTCACATATAATATGTCAATAATCGAGTGCAGTTTTTATTGAGATAATTTCCCCATTTTCTATATTTGGTTATTTTGGTAATGATGATGTCACACCTAAACAGAAAGAGAAAGGAAAAAGAAATTGTACAGTCACAGAAAATCTTTGTTTTCTATCTCTGATCCACATTTCCCATTGAGTTCATCTCTTCTTCCTGTCATTTTGAAACAGGTCCAAATCATGTAAAAACATGATAATCCTTCTCTTGAGTTCTGGGGAAGGTGAACAAATATTGTTTAAGGTTTACAAGTAAACAAAAATTGTATTAACTGGTTTACACTTGTAAAAACATGATATTCCTTCTCTTGTTTTATCATGTTTTATATTTAGGTTCTGATATCAAGCTACTGATACATCAAATGGGAACCAATTTTCTTTTCTTTTGGTTTTCATAACAGAAGTTGTTTGAACAGGCCTAAATATGTAAAAACATGATACTCCTCCTTTGGTTGGGTTTAAAGTTATCTGCTGATATCAGGTTATCTTAACTTCAAACCAGTGTCTGTTCAATTCATCAAATATATCTTTGCTTCAACAGGACTAAGTCATGTAAATACATGATATTACTTCTGTTGCTGTTAAAACAGGAGTTGTTAAAAACAGATATAAGTCATGCAAAAACAAGATTTCAAATTTGTTATTGTGCCATGTTAAAGTTTATTAAACTTAAGTCATAACTAGTGTGCTTGTAGAATATATAAAAAACAGCTTTCCTGAATGATATACGAGCATAACATCCTTGAAAGGTTTCTCTCTGAATAAAGAAAGATTTACTATGAACAGAACATAATTCACAGTGTTCATTGAGGAATATAAATGTTTTCAAGAATCAATACATTTAATGATGGGTGGTTATGACTTTGGGAGTACTTCCCCTCTCTCCATTTGGGGAACATTGGGAATAGAAGCAAGTAATTTGCACCAATTTGCACTTACAAGCCTGTTAGTGTCAAGCCCTGTATGCATAGGTTTTACATTTTCAATCCAGAAATTTATAAAGCGCTAATATCTAGTTGTCTAATCGAAGGCCCTGATGAGACCAAAAATGTCTGTTCATGATTCTAACTGGGAAAGACAAAATACCAGTGACTAATTGTAAGCAATCTGAAATAAGTATGTCTTTCCTTCAAACCATCAAGTAACTTACATCTTGTAGCATCTTGCTGAGTTTCCCCAAGGCTGTCTTCATACTGTTCAGGTCCTGCACCATCTGTCTGTAGGTGCTGGCTTCCACCAAGATGGTGTCCCTTCCCACAGCCGGACTGGACCTCAGGTTACCCCTTGGGGAGTTGGTGGTGTAAGGCCCATAGCTCTGGCCTGTGGAATGGTGGCGATGTCTGCAAGGACAATAAGGAACAGATAGATGTTAGTCAACTTGGATCTATACATGTATAATGTTAAAGCAGTCCAGTCACAGAGGGAAGCGTGTCTTTCTGAAGCCTGACCTGACTCAATGGCCGTAACGTCACCCCTGAGTGAGTGAGCAATGTAAGGACATAGCTCACGCCTGTGGAATGGTGCTGATGTCTGCAAGGACAATAAGGAACAGATAGATGTTAGTCAACTTTGGTTTCTATAATGTTAAAGTAGTCCAGTCACAGAGGGAAGCGTGTCTATCTGCTGCCTGACCAGACTCAATGGATGTAACGTCACCCCTGAGTGAGTGAGCAATGTAAGGACATAGCTCAGGCCTGTGGAATGGTACTGATGTCTGCAAGGACAATAAGGAACAGATAGATGTTAGTCAACTAGGGTTTCTATAATGTTAAAGCAGTCCAGTCACAGAGGGAAGCGTGTCTTTCTGCAGCCTGACCTGACGATAAAGATCCATGGATGTTTGAGCTAGTTCACCTTTCATGTAACCAGCATGTAGCTTGGTGTTCCATCCTTCGAAAAAATTATGTAGACGATCGGTCAATTATATTTTTGAACAGTTCTCCAGATCACAACTTGGGTATTTCTCTGATAGAAATTCAAATACTTCAACTTCCTCAACTGTCAAAGCCAGAACTGCCACTGTATACATTTAGCTTTCATCTGAGGAACAACCTACATGTACATAGTTACATGTATCAAAAACCTGCATTATGATGGCTACAACAATAAATGATTTATAACCTAGTGCAAGATAATCGTTTTTTTGTTACAGTTTTATGGCTTCAGTGACCAGTCGTGCATTAACATTTTTCAAAAGAAAACAACAAATTATGAGCATGTATACAAGGTTCTTTTATGGCCAGATTTAAAGGGAATTATGATTTTGGTAATGACAGAAAACATCTTCTTCACAATCTTTTACAGTATTCACAAAAAAGATTATCTAGACTGTTCTGGTAACTATATTTGCAAAACAAACTCAATAGAAATGTATTTTTTAAAGCTTAGTAATAAGCAAAGATAAATGAGGACAACTGATTCAATCGGGTAAATCAATAAAGCATGTAGTCCCATTTAAGTATGTGTGTTTTGGTTCTTTTCAACTTACAAGTTAGATTCACTGATTTTCATCAAGTTTTTGTGTATATATTTTGTATATATATATATATATATATATATATATATATATATGTAGGTCTGTTAACAAATTGTTGGTTCCAACAGAGGCAAGCACTTTGACTTTCAGCCAGTTTGTTTCAAATTGAAATTCACATACCAGATTTCCAGATACCGGTAGGCTTTAATTATGTAGGAAAATGAACATGTAGCATTTTAATTTATCATTCTCGCAGGCCAATTTAAACCATGATCAATTAAAACCATCCACCCATGTGGGGTTAAATGGGGGAAAGGTAAAGGTACATGGCCCCCTGCAAAGGAAGCAATGTCCTTATTTCACAACAATCAGTTTTGGCTCACAATCAATTCAATGGTGTGTACATAAAACATTAGTTCGATTGCTTCGTACATGTGTGCAATGTCAATAGGAATATGTACCGGTACACATTTAATACATATCTGAAACTGTATTGCGACTTGGCTGACGTGCAGAATTTTGAAGAGGGTTGGGTCTGTGTAATAAATGACTGCTACAATGTAGGCTATGCATCGTTATATTGTGAATGTTAGTCTAAGGTTATTCGATGAATCAGCAAATTAGCCACGTATTGCTTATACTAGGAAGCAAATTGGGATCTAGTTAATCAGAAATAATACACAAGCAGTTAGGCATGCATGCGTCTTATGATCCTTTTGGGTTATATCGACACCAAACACAGACACTTGGAAACACAAATAGGTTTAATGAGGTTGACTTGGATTAGCCATTACACCAACCATGTATTAGCATCACAGAGGATTAGTACACTAATGGATTGAAACTAACACAGTACCAACTGGAAACACTGATCAGTTACAGAAGATGAATGGTTAAACAATAACACTAACACTTGAGCATTAAACACCAAAAGCATAAACTGTGGTTGAGATGGCGGGATTACCTGTCGGTGTAAATATTCAATCCATTGAGCTGCTCCTCATTGCAATGAAAGTGTCTAATCCCAGTTTGATAGTACATAGCAAGCATGTTCTCACTAACCATACAGACACGTTTCAACTACGGTACCTAAAAAACGCTAAAGCCGTTAGCTCTCCTCTAGCTTCTCTAGCTTAGTCCAAGATAGAATTAATGGAGCACTTGTGCTAATCACTTACGATTCAGTGTCTAGGTCGAATCTTTCCTCTTTTCTGACGACAAATTTCAACATTTGATTACCACAGAAATGAAAAAAAAGCAAATATTTGAACAGGTTCAAGGCAAGATATGGTTGCGAACACCTGGTTTCGAAAGGAACCAGTTCACACAAAATCTGTCTGCATGAGTTTATCCAATATCATCATATCAAAGGTATTAAATTCCAAAGCAGTTCCACAACTGGTCCACAAATTGATAATCAAGTCCCATGCTAGCCCATGACGGTGACTAGATCTTTGCGCTACTGCTTTCATTTCATATACTAGTAGACAAATGTCATGTTTGTTTTAGCTTGCTAAACAAATCCCCTGAAAAAAGTCCCAGCCGGCACTAGTTCCACGTCACCCAGTATAACGTAATGATAGAAAACACAGCCAGGATATGAATGATATAACATGCACAGTCAGGTTTGAAAAAGAACAATTCTAGGCGATATGATAACAAACTGTCAGATATCTAGCTTGCCAAGGTTCCTTTCCAATAATACAGAACTGACATTCTCATTGCCACGTACATACATGTACTTTTGTCCATTATGCCAATGAGGGCACATTACGGTTGGGGGGGGGGGCAATTTTTTGAAATTATTATCAAGTATGCTGTAATGAATCACTCACATATCAATCGCAGTTGTATGAATAATGTGCTGGTTTGCAAAGTGAACATGATACCACTAACTTTTTTCTAGCAATTTACTTCTAACTCTTAAATATATTATGTAAATAATTTCTACTCAATTGGTTAAAAGGAAAATGTCCAGATAGGTTTGAATTTTTTTTTTATAACCTATTCCATGTAACATTTTCATCATGCTGAACCAATGAAAATTCATAATAATACAGTTGTATGACAATCCTCCGAAAATTTTCCCATCTCTATTTGATAGTATGGTTTTCCTATGAACAAGAAGCAATGGGTGTGTGTGAGAGACAAGAGAGAGAGAGAGAGAGAGACAGAGAGACAGATATATATACATATATATATATATATATATATATATATATATATATATATATGTATATTTCTCTCTCTCTCTCTCTGTCTCTGTATGTGTGTTGTGTGTGTGCCTCTCTAACACACACATACCCATTGCTTCTTGTTCACAGGCAAACCACACTATCAAATCTCCCCCTCTCTCTCTCTCCCTTTCTCTCTCTCTCTCTGTAATATATATAATCAGTCAGTCCGCAACGCCCGCGATAATTAGGCAGAATGCCCAAATTTACACAGCACCCGGAAGTGCGATAAACCGTCGTATTTCGTGTCCCGCGATTTGCGAGATTTCGTGAGACTTTTGCACAGGTCAACAAACTTTATCACAGCTGCTATGGCTTTTACTGTGCTGCGTAGCATGTAGGGGTAAGTGAATCTCCATACTTTTCTACTTATTTTGATATGAAATTTTCCTAATTTTACCGCATCTAAGTGATTGTAAATATGCATTGAAATGTGTCCATATTTTCCTTCTTTCGTAGGAGGTATTCTGACATTACCTTGCATTTAGCGTGTTCCTGACTGGTATTAGCAATGTTTTTCCCCAATTTTTTGATTTTTCACAAGAAAAATGTTGGCAGAAGTGAAAAAGCGCAGAGTTCGATTGATGCACGATGTATTTTATTAGCTTTTATGGCCATGAAAGTTACACATTTTTCGATTTTCAACCGGAAGTTGTGTGACGGCTACGTTAAAATCACTCATTTTTGCCGATATGGCGCGAAAAGTGTACGTTTCGCCAACATGGCCGCACTTTCGTAGTCATCACCGTGACCGCGTACCGGTCCCATACATAGCCTTTTCTGTACCGATCCGGCATAAAACAAAGCCATATCTGATCTGGGGCCCTCGACTTACGTGTACTATTCCATTAAATTAGCAAGCTCTCTTGATAATATTTATGCTTAATCCATTTTATTTTTACACGAATTTAACAGTCAACTGTGAGAGTTAAACAGTGACTCTGGCGTCTGGTCAGACTCAGTCTCAGATAATTATATTATTAATTTAGGGATTCTCAAACTAGTTTGGTTGTGCCTTTTGTTTTGGTTCTGGTCAACTCAAACTTTACAACCAGCCATAGAAATAAGCAGCATTTCCCTTGTGCGAGTTGTATTATGATTATGAACAAAGCAGAATTGAAACAAAAAGCCAAAGTTAAACACTTACATTTTACAACTTGTGCACATGTGGAAAAATGAAGGGAAAATTTCATGAATTTGACACCTGTAATTTGTTTTCATTAAAAACAATTTTTTAATGCAACCAGGTTTTGTCTACCATAAATTGACAGCTACTTTCATCAGATCTTTTAAAATCCCCATACCTGAACTAAGCAATTTTATATTCCTTCTTATCATTTGTCATTTGCCAGGACCGAAGAATACAAGAACAGCTTCTATCCTCGTAATGGAATCAACTACGAGCCGGCAGCCACCATCATCAAAGTCAACATCAGCCAAGTCTTTCCATACCAAAGTTTGGAGCTACATGCAGAATGACCACTCAGCGCAGCTGTACACAGGCGGGCTAGAGCGTCGATGTGGCTCTACTTCATCTAAAAATTAGATGATGTCTGCAACCAACTGTATTTTTATGAGCACCTTTTTATTTTTATTTTTGAACTCTGCACCCTCAGTTGTGATGTTTGTTGACAGTTTGCGATGCCACGGAAGTCTGGACGTATATAACAATTGGTCCTGTCCAGTACCACCTTAGATGTAGATATTGTTGTTTTTCTGACGGATGCACTCAACCATCGAACTTGCGGAACATTGACAACAAATTAGCTAAGACACAGACTTCACACATCAGTCTCCATTGCATTCCTGAATCAGCATTTGCTAGACTTCACATACATGTAGGAACAAACAATCTTGAAAGCGGAGTTTGGGAGAAGGACAAGAAGGATTTTGTTCAGCTTATTCTTTCAGTAAAAGAAAAATCCATTTCAAGTGATTACATTTTTGTATCTCTGATAGTGATACTTCGAAGGTGGGATTCCTGAGCTTTACATGAACAAAGCATTTATTATAATAAAAAACTGATTGAACTGTCACCGTTATACAATTTAAACTTTAAAGATGTTTTACTCGGATAATACTTTTATTCTCAGTGACACATGTTATGCAAGTAATGGTCTCAAGCAGGGTAAAAATTAGTACTTATTTTTCGGGGGCTACTTTTCAAGCTTGCCTGCGTAAAAATAACACTCTAAAATTTGTTTTGCATTGAACTCTATGCAAATTTATGGGGGCTCTTTTCTGATCTTCGGGGGCTCTTTTGGGCATTTCGGGGGCTATTTCGTCCTGAGCCCGTGTATTTTTTTCACTGGTCTCAAGTTCTCAACATACAAGTCAAAGTCAGTTTATAAATAAAATATGAATATTATAAAATGGAAATATTATTCCTAGTCCAATTTCATTTATAATTATTTATCATTAGTAGGAGTCTTAATAATATATTTTGTGTTTAACCGGCTATGGTGATGATGACGATGGCAATGATCATGATGGCTATGGTGATGACGGTGATTATGATGATGGTGATGGCTATGGTGATAATACTGACGGTGATTATGATGATGGCAATGGTGATAATGCTGACGGTGATTATGACGATGATGGTGATGGCTATGGTAATAATGCTGACAGTGATTAGGATGATGATTATGATGATTGTGATGGCTATGGTGATAATACTGATGGTGATGATCATGATGGCTTTGGTGATTATGATGATGGCAATGGTGATGGCAATGATCATGATGGCTATGGTGATGATGATGGTGATGGCAATGATCGTGATGGCTATGGTGATAATGCTGACGGTGATTATGATGATGGTGATGGGGATGATCATGATGGCTATGGTGATGATGCTGATGGTGATTGTGATGATGGCAATGGTGATGGCGATGATCATGACAGTGATTATGATGGTGATGTTAATAGTGGTGATGGTGATGTTAATAGTGGTGGTGATGATAATGATCGTGATGGCGATGATGACTTTGATGATTGTGATAATGATGTTGAAGGTGAAAATTAAAATATTATTAATTTTATTTGCGCCCTTTCAACCCACCACACATTAAAAATGTTATCCGATAGTCATTACCATACAAACAAAAACAGAAAATAAATGATCAGATATATATTTTGCGGGTCACTATAAAACAAAAACAAACAGAAAAGAGAATAAGGGAAAGAATTTTGTAATTATTTTATTTTTTAAAAATACACATGAACTGGAGTTACATAAATTGACAAAAGAAACATCAAATAAAATATTACTATCAAAGAATGCCTGGGGATTACCAAAATAAATTGATGTTTAGGGCTCTTCTCATGTCATTGATTAGTCCATGGTTTACAATTTAAATAAAAACACATTTCAGAACTTTTACAACCAACCGCCTGCAATACAGCCATGAAATTTAAAAGCAGGGATGGGAACAATCATATTTTCATTTTTCAATGACTATACCAATGCCAATCGCTTCCCCCCCCCCCGAAAGTTTGTATTTTCACAAATATACATTTGAGAAAGAAAATGTATCTTCTTTGTTAAAATTATATCAAAGCCTGGCCAAAAATGACACATAAAGACACTTAAACCCTTCCCACTGTCCCCTATTCATTCTAGAGGTGGTATTCTATAGTGTACTTGATTGTACTTGAGTACGTATCCGCATCCAACTTGTACTCTCTGTAGACTTCTATTATTAAGTAGCGCATGAGTATAATACACAATAATAAGTATGTGGGGCAGTACAAAACCTCTACGTCCGGGGGTTACGCACCCGAGAGTAATACGTGAATATCCCTAATCACCGTCTATCCTCCGTGCGTGTTCATGTACAGCGCACGGACACAGAACATCGATAATCGACGCAAAGCTAGATATAACGTAGTATCCCCCGGTCGGCGGGTGACGTCATACTCTGATGACCCACGCATATCGGCTGTGTCACCGCTGTTGAATATGTTGGAATGAACATGGTGTTGTATTTACCGTGTTCCTGACTGGTATAAAGAAGTAAAATAAAGGAAACAGTGATGGTTTGAAAGTTTGTATATTTATCATCACAATGAACCAAATTACTTTTTGATGCAGTAGCGTTTTCATATATTTTTTTAATGCTGCATATCGTTAAGTTGCTATGTTTTTTAGACTGTTTTAAATGCTCTTTTTAGAGCATGTTAACGTTAAAAAAATATCTTGATGTTTTGTAAAGATGGATTATGTGGTCTATCTTCTTTATATTGGTACATAAATAAAAAAAATCCATAGAGAAACATTGATGTAATCGTAATTTTCATGTACCAATGTTTTCTGCTTAATGTCCGTTTTTACCGTACATAGCTTGCATACGACTTGTGTAAATACGAGCGAATTCGCGGACGCTGCGGACTGACTGTAATATATATATATATATATTTATAGAGAGAGAGAGTCAATGTATTTTTTTTTTAAATTAATCGGCCATGGGAACAAGCCCAATTACCTACCAAGGCCTGACTCACATACCAATGCAGTTTGTGAGATACAGCAGAAACAAGAATTGAAGAAGCACTCCCACTATATAAATAAAACTGTTTGTTTATACAACCATGCATGAAATGCACAAAAGGCTATTTAAACTATTTGTAATATGGAAGACTGATCATTAACTTTGGACTACATGTAGATGATTTATATCCAAAATAAAAATAAATTTTCATTTGCTCCCCCCCCCCCAAAAAAAAAAAAAAAAACAACTCACAGATATGAGGAAGAAATGAAAGATATGTGTAGTAAAAATGAGATTTAGGAAACAATTCATATCCCACTAGTTCTATTTTTCACTGATTCACATTGGTGGTATGGTGGGTGGGGTGTGTGTAGTGGGTGTGAGGGTGTATTTTTGTGTGGGAGGTTAGCATTATATGAGTGGAGGCATGTTTGTGAGGCTGATACTAGTGTGATGTGTTTGATGGCATGTCATGAAGTGGGTGTGGGTGTGGGATGTGCATGTACATGTGAGTGTGCATGTGTGTATGTGGGTGTGTGTGAGAGAGAGAGAGATAGAGCAAGAGAGAGAGTGAGAGAGAGAGAGAGATGTATTTAGCTCCGTTTTCTTTCTTATGGCTGGTATTCTTCAGTTGGAGATTGAATTCTTTATGACCGAGCTATTCAGCGATTTTCTTTTTAAAATATCATTCCTTTTCTATCTTTACTACATTTGCACTGTATGTTATTGTTTACATCCACTGTCGAAAGAAAATAATTAATTCTTGCCTGTTGTCTTCCTCAGTCTATCAATACACTATACATATTCTTTCTCATACATGTACATGTATATAAGGTCCAATAAATAAACTATCAAACAAGTAAAAATGTGAAAAAGCGGTACCTTTAAATCTTTCATCCTTAGGTCTATTTCATGGTCTATTTCCTGTCATGTGATCCCCCTTCTGCCCCTTCTGCCCCTTCCACCATGCTCAAATGAAGCTTGTAATGTTACCAGAGGCTTCTATCAGTTAGTCTAATTCCAGGATCGTTATGTAAATTTTTACCTCGTAATTTTTTATGTCCATCCTACTCTGGAAATGGTAATACTTTAAATATTAGTTTTAGAACTGTCTTTTTCTCGTAAAGTCTTGAATATGAGCACCTCTGCCTTGGCTCTGCGATGTCTCATTTTATTTCATTTAAGACTTTAAACAAAATCATGTACCTTCATTAACAATTTTAAGAATACAAAAGGACCTTTCTTTTCATAGACCTAGTTGTTGGGAACTTGCACTGCTCAATCCCCTAAATTCCCCTTTCCATAAGAATTTTTTTTAAACACATTCTAATAAAATATAAGGTGCTTGAGCCAAGCCTACAGGTTTCAGGTGGTTTCTTGGTGTATGTCCCATGTATAAGCCAGTTCACGGTTGCAGTCTGAGCATGAGCAGATAAAGGTCATTGCAGAACAAATTTTGAAATACACGGAGATGAAATACTGGATACATGCTCATGAAAGTTATGTAACATTATTCATGCATGCACATTCAGTGCACTCCATGGTACACAGGTGGAAGTATTTTTTGAAAAGGGTATTTATAAAGCACTTCCATCGCTATAGGAGTGATTATTTCAAAATGTACAAAGTGGGACCTCTTCATGTTTTGAAGATCTGTGGATATTCGGGGTCATTGCAGTAAGGTCCTAACCGTGAACTGGTCTATTGTCAAGTCGACCCTTTTGTTGAACAAAGGTTTGCCCAACAGACTACCTATAGCTCGTTGCAGACCCTGGTTTTGGATATGATTACAGTTTTAGCAGAACAATATGATCCAATGTCATCTTTACAGGTAATAAGATATGTTTCACCTTTGAAATACTTCTGAGGTAGGCTTAAGGGAAGATATTATATCCATCCAAACATATCAAATATACTTTTTAAGACATACCGGTATCTAAAACTTGAATGGCTGTTTCAATACTGAATTCAAACTATTTTACTATAAAATACAAGAAGCCTCTTGGCAAATAGCTTAAGTGTCAAGTAGCCTCATCTTTTGCATCTCCTTCATTTAAGGTCATTGTGAATACCTGAAATTCATAGATTAAAATTAAATACTAAACAGCTAAATTGATGATTTTCTTCTTTGATAGATAGTTATAAACTGTTGCATCTCCAGCAATATTTGGAGTCCATTGTCTTCTCCTTTTTTGAGAGTCCATGCAAATCATCTCCTTAATGAATTACAGATATTCTTGTACATGTAGGCCTACATCAGCAACAATTTCAGTTGAAACAATATCTAGTTTTAGTTTTATACCCTAGATTGAAATAAAATTGAAATTTTCAGTTTGATTATTACACATGTACTATATTCTATGTGTTTGTGTGCGTATTTCAGATACAGTATATGTATGATTTAAATTGAAATTCACAAGCAGTCATTGGTCCTCATGCAAAGACTGTTACTCTTTTTTTTAATTCTTCTTTTCTCATTTTCTGCAACAAAATATTCCCACAGGGCACTTGTAGTTTTCCATGTTTACCCTGTACATGACCCAATGAACTATGGGAAGCCAAACAGACACCCCATGTGACTATTACAGTGCCTTGCCAGAAAGATATCCTAAGACATGTTCCTGTGTCCCCCAACACAATTACTGCTCTCAAAATAAAGACGGGGAACAGGAAGGGGCCAGAATTAATTCTTTACACATTGTCAGGCGTGGATTAGTTTACTTACTGGGTTAAAGATAATTTCAGTTAAACTAATTAACAAAACTGTACCTCATCCACATGTGCACAGTTACACTAGTCACGTGGAATGTCTACAATATAAGTAGAATGAATAACTTTTTGCTTGCATGGCATTCACACATGTACAGTTACTACAAAATTATTCGT